AGCATATATTATATTTAGCCCACAATTATTATATATATACAATCATTATATACATGTATATACATATAGAGTTCATGCAATTTTGAATGTCTTTTAATTTTTGAAAAAGTCACTTATATTTGTTTGCACTCCAGATTTGCACTTAATGTAGTCCTCTGTCATCATCTCATCAATATCTACAAGTTTTTCCAAAATCTTATGCCCATGAACACTTGCATACATTTTCATTTCTTCAACATGCTCACAGAATTTTTGTCGACAGATCACAGACTCACACTCTTCACTCTCTTCTACCTCTTGTTCCTCCTCTTCCTCTTCATTCATTTCCTCGATGATTTCTGAAGCTGGCCTGTCCCAGTCCTGTTTTCTGTTGTCACATGTTTCTACGCAGGCATCTATCCTAGTTAATTCCAAGAATTCACAACCAATAATTTCTCTTGACAGCTGTAGGACAGCAAGGGGGACATCATCATCATCATCATCATCATCCACATTCACTTCTGAATTTTAAGACTATATATATTTAACTATTTTCAGATACAAATTAGCTTAGAATTATGAAACTTTGTCTGATGATGCATTTTGGGTCCTTGCAGTTTGTCAACTGAAAAGTAGGTCACCATGACCTTCTTTTGGAATTTTATGGCTATATTTAAATATTTCAGATACTATTTGGCTTAGAATCTTCAGACTTTGTCAGTTGATGTATCTTTGGTCTTCGGAGTGTGTCAACTAAAAAGTAGGTTACCATGACCTACTTTTTGGATTTTATGGCTTAGAATCGTCAAACATTGTAAGTTGATGCATTTTGGGTCCTTGGAGTATTTCAATCAAAAAGAAGGTGTGGTTGATCTACTCCTTTAATATCATGACTATAATTTAATATTTCAGATACTAATTGGCTTAGAATCAACAAACTTTATCAATTTATATATCTTGGGTCTTTAGAATGTGTTAACTAAAATGTAGGATATGGTGACCGAGCTACTTTTGGAAATTCAAGGCAATATCTAAATATTTCAAATGATAAGAATCATCAGTTAATGTGTTTTAGGGTCTCTGAGTATGTTACCAAAAAGTAGGTCATCATGACCTTCTTTTGTCATTTCATGGTGATATTTTTATATATAACATAGTAAGAAGATTAGAATCATCAAACTTTGTCAGTTGATACACCGTGAGTTTTCAGAGTTTTAACCAAAATGTAGGTCACAATGACCTACTTTTGGAATTTCAAGGCTTTATCTAAATATATAGAATACTAGGAGGCTTCTTGTACAATTCATCGGAAGAGCGATTCAAAGGCCCTTGGGCCTCTTGTTATTAAACCTTATATGCCTATACATATTGATCAGAGCTGTTCAAATGCATCAACTTTTTTTACTTTTGCCTTTCTTTTGACCTTAATATCACTTATCTTAAAATGGTTTAAGCTCATTTTCAAAGAGTTGGTGCAAAGCATCCCTGGGTAAAGAAGGGCTAAGCCTCCTTCAAAGTGGGAAATAATCAAGAAAAGGCAAATAAAGGGTTGGGTCATTACAAAATCTTCTCAAGAACAATCAGACCAGAGAAGCTGAAACTTACTTGGAAGCTTCCTGAGGTATGAGTTTTTTTCACTGACCATGAGTGGCTAATTTGATAGGATGTGAGTTGAGTTTATTTGCTCAAGCACTATTGTTTTATTTAGTCTGCATGGTGATAGTGACAAAGGAGAGAGTACAAACAAGTAAATTGATCTACTTTTTGATTTGTTACTGAGTACTAGATTATTTTGTTGATCCCTAGGCATCTTAATTCTCTTGCTTTGGGGTAATTTATCTTCTAGGGGTGCTGGTGTTGGGGAGGGGGGTATTGATTTTAAAGTGAACTACATAAAAAAAATCATAATCCAAGAAATAAAACCTCTGTGGCCTTATCTACCCTTGTTTAGATCCCTTTAATTTTTATGTGAATGAAAGCTCTTGGTACAAGGATACTCTGTGATAAAGAGCAAGAGCCACTTAGGGCCTTTTCTGGCCCTGAGAATTTCTGAAAAATTGAAACTGCTCAGTTTTGGTTGAAAATGCAGTATTTATAGCTTGGACACTTGGGGACCATATATCTATTGAACATGACGTAATTTTCTCTCTAGTCAATGCATTATGACATCATAAAATGTGTCATTTTTCCCATATCCTGTAACTTCCCTTAAAATGGCCAAAAGTTGAGGTATTTTTTCAATATTTCATATAGAGCACAACCTCTGATCCAAAATATGCAATTACATAATGAAAGATCTGTTTCTGAGAATCACAAAACATGTTTTAATTTTTGGATCGTGGGCTGTGCTCATATTTTAATTCTTTGTTGAAGGTAGTCAAATACGAATGTTTTCTGCAAAATTCAAGAACATTGCATTTTCTCAAAGCCTGTTTTCCAATACATGGATTCTCAAAAAGAAAATTTGTTATAGGAAATGAAAGTACTAAGTCTCTACTTCATTTTGATATATGAAATGGGACAGAGGGTGATAGTCAATTGATTGATATAAGGACAGGGCCATTTTATGCATGAAGTGAACCTAGCTCTTTGAAGAAGATTGGCTAAGGGGTCTTGAGAAATGGTACACAATTTTTAACAAAACCTCTAAGGAACCACTGAATTAGAAAAGGCAAAACTTATATAAATGCTTTTTTTACAGTGTAGATTTAAATTTAGTTATTTTATGGCCCACAGTGTATAATGTGACTACGATGGGGTCCGACCAAACTTTTAAGTGCCATTGTTTAGATATAGGGGAAAATCTTTATAGGTCATTTTTAGAACAGCAAAGACATGATAGACAAATTTAGGCATTCTTAATTAAGTTCAGAATGCAGGCTTTTTTAAAATCCTGGACCCCAAGGGGTTGGTGCGATGGGACTTCAATTGGGATGCAAATCTTTCACTGGAAAAATGTATAAAGAAAAAAGCATGTTTATGAATGATCAGATTACTATTAGTACAATAAAAGCATTGTTCGTAAGTGCAGATCAAGAGAGTTTAAATCAGGCCCCCTTAGGGGAGGAGGGAGGGGCAAATTTTTCATAGGAAAATTTAAGAAAAAAAAGTGTTTAATTTTTTTTTTCTCAAGAACTGATGGCTTATGTTGATTGATATGCAAGCATCCTTAGGTAGTGCAGATTTAAGCTTAATTTCAACATCGATGGCATAAAAACATAAAAATGTTCAAAGAATCTTCTCAAGAATAGCAAAGCAATGGTTGCTCAGTACGCAGCTATGTTAAGGCTGTCCGAAGGCTTAATATGCATTAAAATATACATTTCATTTTGAGCTAGATTTTAATTTCAATTTGTAATATATGTATGAATTTGCAGTCAACTTGTGATAAGAGTGTAATCAGGTATTATAATAATGCATTTTTGTGATGTAACATGACTTTGTTGATCACGTGACGGACACTTATAAATTCCTAAATGTTGCACAAAAATCACATTGGCACAAGTGCAAAACAACATTATTGAGAAAAAATTGATCTTTGGTACATATAAAGTGCTGGGGGCAAGTCTGAATTTTAATTCTTGAGAAAATATTCCACGAGAAATTCAACTTACCAACGTACAAGGGGGCATTTTCAACTCTTTTTCACATTATCTGAGAATCAATGTTTTACAAGAGAATATTTAAGGAAAAAGATGCAAAAGTATACACATGAGTATTTAAATCCCAGTACAGTATATACCGTATAACGGGTATTTTCTGCGGTTGGAAATTTTTGCGATTTAACCCCAAAAAGGTTGCAAATTAATTTCTGCGTTTTCAATTTCTGCGGTTGCACTATACCGCAAAAATTTATTTACAGGGTATGATCATGCACTAAACTGTATGAATTATCAGAATGCTGTCTTGTTTACATTTTATAAATTCATTAAGACATACTGATCAAAGGTGCATGGAAACTGGTATTTAGCTATTAGGCTTAATTAAACTACTATCTTTTAGTTAGTTTTTGTAAAAATATTTCGAGTACCAATTGAAATAAATTAATGCAGTATAAGTCCACCCAAACAACAATACAAATCTTTATTCTAACAGTTTGATGCGATCTATTAAAATACTAGTATTTAAATATGTGTAGATAATGATAATAAATACATCCAAGCCATATTCTAAAATACATTTCTAGTTAACTGCCATCAAAATTAATTTGGTGTTTATATTTCAAGCTAAAACAAACAGTTGCATAATGAAGTACCCCAAAGTTGACGGTTAACAATGACAGGTGTCATGTGCATTGAGGCGTAACTAATCCTGTCAGTCTTATGCATTAGGTGAAATTCACAAGACAATCGAGCCACATTGTGTATACAAGCAGTAATTATTGTCTCAATATAAAACACGTTTAGAAAAGAAAAGCTACCATGTGTTGTTTGCAGCTATCGGAGTTTGGACTAATAATTGCGAAATAGGTAGTACATATGTACCTATTAATTATCGATTATTAATCGATTACATTTTTCAGTAATCGTGCCCATCCCTGACAGGTACAAGTAAAGATGTTTTTGTATCAACTTATTTAATTGATATTATTTACAGCTAGGGAGGTTTTGATTCAATATGTTTTGGACAAATCCTGACATCTAAAATCTTCGAATTTCGATGAAACCCGAATTTTCTCGCTATGAGGATGTGGCCACTCATGAGTCGATGCGGACGCATCGATTTTAAAAACCTTGCATTCCAAATAATTTTGCTGTGTCCAGTACACAGGTTCTTACGTTAATGAGAACCCTGTCAGACATACGCACCACTTGTCATAATTGCATATACAAAATATCTGAATGAATATTGAAAAAAATATTTTGCGATTGTAATTTTTGCGGATTTGTCCTATCCGCAAAATTCCGCAAAAATTGGACAACGGCAGAAAATAACCGTTATACGGTAGTTATATATTATAAAGAACTGAATTTGATATCAATTATTATGCAAGCTATACTGGATTTGTACTTTTTTTGTAGATTCGTTATTGGAAAAAAACAAGTCCTGGAATTCTAAAGAGAATAGAAATACCTGCTAGAGTTCTGAGTGTTGTTGATACAAATATGATTGAAACCCAAAGGATACGGGAAACAATACATAATCTTCCAGCTTTCTCAGAACTTCAACTTGATGTATTGGTGAAGAATACCCTGTTTGAGTCAAAGCCAAGTGATTTAATTGATCTTGTCACTCCAGAAGGAGGTAATATATAGATTTACAGGCCTCTAGGTGACCTCTAAAATTTAGGCATCAGCTGGCTCCTAATAAAAAAAAATTTAATCTCCAATGCAAATTTTTAATCGCCAGGCAAATTTGGCAAAATTTTCATAGGCGCCAACTTTAGAAGCTGATATTGACGAAGTAAGCACTCATGGGCAGGGGTGTGCAATTAAAAAATTCAAGTACTAGCCCACGGGCTAGTGTCAGCAATAAAGTTACTAGCCCTAAGTAAAAAGTTACTAGCCCAAATATAGAGGCAAAAATTAAAAACTAATATTGAAAAAAAAAGTTAATTGTTGAAAAAGTCAGGGTACTAACTAAAGGTAATTCTTTTTAAAATTAAAGTTTAATTCTTGCTTGTAAAATTTAATCATATATAAATTAATGATTATGATAGAAAATGAAAAAGAATTTAAATCTTCCCTTTTTCTGATCATTGCACTAGCTCATCTAAAACGAAGCAAAATCATTTTGTTTTCATCTTAAATCATTAAATACACTGGGAATATATTTTGTTTTTAACAATCTGGAAGACAAGCCCTTGTGTTAAAATAATTGACAATCTTAAGAGAAAATTTATTTCTTCAGATTTTTTTTTGTGTTCTTGAAAAGACAGAGAAGGTGATAAAGAAAACACAATTCATGTCCAATCCTAACTTTACAACTTCTTTTCTCCTCTTCAGAAAAAAAATGGTTGGGAAAATGATTATAGTTCCAGAATCTGATGAGCACCAAGTTGATTTAAAATGGTTGCCAATTTGGGGACTATTAGAGAAATTTTATGCACCAATCAAAAATTTTAGGACCATGGCAACTAAATTAATCACCAATCAGAGCTCAGGACTCTACATTAATATTTTTTCTTGTTTGTTCATTCATACAAGTCATAAGGAAAGTTATTTGTCTGAATTTTTACTTAACATTCAAAATTTTTACCAATAATGAGTTATTTGATTACTTCAAAATATTAATGTAAAGTCTATATTTTTTTCACCAACTTTATTTTATGATAAATTTACATATAACAAATAAAACTTAGAATTTGCATCATCTCGTCCTATATACATATGTAAGGCCAGATAAAAAAATATGTGTGGTTCCGATTACCCGACCGTCCCTATTTTACATCCCCGAACCTAAACTTTTTTCGGCAATTTTCATATTTTTTCCGGAATTTTCTCCAATTTCCATCATCGGCTCCAGTATTAGTTTTAGTTTAGCAATGGCAGCCTCCTTGCAAAACATTGTTTCAACACGTAGTGCAAGTGTTTAATAGTGTTAAATATGAAGCAAGAAAGCTAGCAGGATGCTTTTTTCCAGCGTCATGGGTTTTTTTTTGTTTTTTGTTTGTTGCTAACCAAAATTAAATAAATATGCCCAACAATGGCGAGATTCACTAATAGTTGCTCAGTTTAACCAGCACATGCTGATTAGCCCCTTTGTTTAAAACACACAAAGGTGTGAAGTCAGGATAGAAAAGCACTTCTCGCTTGAACGCACACAGCAGACCAGGTAAGATGCTTTTGGGAGTTGGGAGAAGATAAACATGAGAAAACATCATTTGATTTCATTGATTACGCAAGAATTAGCCAAAAGTGTAAGATAGATTAACTTGTAAATTATTAAATAATTTATATCAGGATCGTTTCTTTGAAACCGAAAGTAAAAAAAAAAATTTGATGAGGATAAGTGACAAACAAGACTGCTGATTTTACCTGAATAAAGTCAACATACACAGTACCAATATATATATATATATATATATATATATATATATATATATATATATATATATATATATATATATATTTATATTTATATATGAGAAATGAGCTTGGAAGTATGAAGTCTTCAATGAGGCAAAAAGTGTTCATTGTAAGAATTTAAAATTTTAACAATATTAAATTTTTATAATTCTCACACATGAAAGATTCTATGTCACCTTGCTTATGTGGTTATTTTGTTTTAAATATTACTGTACAAAGTACAGGTGTCACTTTCCTCTGACAGCTCTTAGCAGCTAGCTTGCTCTATGTCCATTTTCTATTTTATTGTTCTAAATTTATTCTTGAATAAAATAAAAATTACTCTGGATAAAAGTCATTAATTTCATAAAACATGGATTTCAAAAAGGATGTTCACCTCCAACTTCTTTTTTTACCAAAAAAATAAGATTATTTGTTTTTATTATTTTTGATTTAGGGGTGCCCCTACCAATGTTGACTAGTATATTTTCATGGCACATCTAAATACCACTTGCAAAGCAGTGATAGATATCATTTAGAAAAATTTTGATTGATTGATTGTTAGTTGTTTAATGTCCCTCTCAAAAATTTTTCACTCGTATGGAGACGCCACCACTTGCCGGTGGAGGGCTACAAATTTTGACCTATACTCGACACTATGGGCCATTAAGCAGCGAGGGACCTTTTTTCTGCCAGCACCTACTGGGACACAGAACTTTGGTTTATACGGTCTCATCCGAAGGACAGGTCTCTATGACCCGCAGTGGGATTCAAACCCGAGAAGTAAGGATCAACTCCTTACTCTTCGACTCTAGAGCAGACTCTCTAACCACTGGGCCATGCAGGCAAAAAATTTAGAAAATCATTTTGTAAAAAAAAAAAAAAAAAAAAAAAAAAAAAAATCCGACCTACCTACCCTAATTTTTTTGGAGGTGTAACTGGAACCACACATATTTTTTTTGTTTGGCCTAACAAATAAAACTTAGAATTTGCATCATATGTAATGAAAGCTAAATTAAAATAATAGAAAAACAAAAAACAAAGCGAATAGGTTCAACAACAAACATTAATTTGGCTTTTTCTCTTATTTATATAACCCTAGTCAGGGGTTTTCCTGGCTTTTTTTTGGGGGGGGGGGGGGGGGGGGGGGGTTCGGACCCACTCCCAATTCAAAAAATCAGCCATATTTTCCAAATATGGAATATTTTTTTCCCAATTATGTGTTCTTGAAAAATTTTAGAGAGTGCAGAAAGAAACAAGATATTTGTTTCCCTGCAAGACTTCTGAAAATCTCAACATGTGATGTATTATTGAGCTATAAAAATAAGTGATGCAACACCATCTGGTAAATCACCGACGGTGCTTAGCAATTAGTTATTAAATCACTTTTGTGTCATTTAAGTCAACTAAATCCTATACTGATCATAAAAAAGAATTAGTTATCATGAAAGTTGTCTATGGCTTACTGTGCAACTTGCTTGCATCATCTTATGATCTAAAAATAGTAAGGATTAAACTAATATGCCTAAATGCACAAAATCTGTCATCTAACTTTTTTTTTACTCTCCCATTAACACAGGCTTATTCAAGGAAATATTTTCATTTTATTTGTTACACGTAATGTTGCTGCACATAGAAAACAAATAATTTCCAAAATATTATTATACCCCATGCAACAAGTTGCGTGAGGTATAATGTTTTTGACTAGTCCGTCGGTCAGTGTGTCACTCAGTTCGTCAGTCCTGTTTTTTTGTCAGCACAACTCCTCATAAACCGCTGCACAGAATTTCATCAAACTTTGTAGATATTTAGCACACAATATGTAGATGTGCATATTACCAGGAAATTTCGATTCCTTTATTTTTTCTGGGAATTTCGGCACTTTTCAACTTAGATTTTTGGCCATATCTTGAATATAGAGATGAACAGTTTGTTAGTGCAACTCCTCTTAAACCGCTGCACAGAATTTTGTTAAACTTTGCAGATATTTAGGACACAATGTGTAGATATGCATATTACCAGGAAATTCCGATTCCATTATTTTTGCCTCAAGAGTTTTGCCTATTATTGAAGAAACTTTCCAGCTAGGTAATAAGGAAATCCACTGGAATCAGCTTTTGTAATGAAATTTTATGTGAAATATTTTATGACCTTAAAAGACCCCTATTGATTTTGAGATCAAAATATTAATGATGTAACACACACATACACACACACACAATATTGGATCATAAACAAATTGAAAACACTGAGGAATCTAAATAACATTTTGTCAGCATAACTCCTGCACTGAATTTCCTGATACTTTGTAGGTATTTCAGACATAATGTGTAGATTTGTATATTACCAAGAAATTTTGATTCCATTATTTATCTAGAAACTTCGAAAAAGGGAGGGCATATTGATTTGCTGCTGTTTGTCGGTCTGTCTGTCTGTCTGTCCATTCACCAAAAGTTTTCGTTCATTTTCTTTGCAGAGGTTGCACATACTGAAATGAAATTTGGTATACAGATTTATCATAAAAGTATCTAGGTCAAGATCTGTTTTGGATATGATGGAGCAATTTTTGACAGAGTTATGTCCCTTGGACTTTGAAAAATTCCAATTATTTGCAGTTTCCATTCATTTTCTTTGCAAAGGTTGCACACACTGAAATGAAGTTTGGTATACAGATTCTATAAGAATATCTAGGTCAACTTCTGTTTTGGGTACAATCAAGCAATTTTTGACAGAGTTATGCCCCTTGGAAAAATTCCAATTATTTGCAGTTTCCATTCATCTTCTCTCCAGAGGTTGCACACTTTGAAATGAAATTTGGTATACAGATTTATCATAAGAACATCTAGGTCAAGTTCTGTTTTGGGTACGATGGAGCAAATTTTGACAGAGTTATGCCCCTTGTACTTTGAAAAATTGCAGTTGTTTGCAGTTTCCATTCATTTTCTTCGCAGAGGTTGCACATCCCGAAACGAAATTTGGTATACAGATTTATCATAAGAATATATAGGTTAAGTTCTTTTTTAGATAGGATCAAGCAATTTTTGACAGAGTTATGCCCCTTGGACTTAGAAAAATTCCAATTATTGGGGGGGGGGGGGGCATAAGTGTTTCACAAACATCTCTTGTTTAATTTTGTTTTTTTATTCCAGTCATGAATGTAATAAACCTAAATGATGTTTTTTCTGTATTTTTATTATTATACAATTAAAAAAAATTATGCCCACTTCAAATTTTTTC